GGCTCCTCTACTCGATTTTTATTTATTGTACCTACCTCTTTTCACGTTTTGCCAATGAATGTTTCTGCAGTGCTCTGAATTTAATTCTTTAATTGTATCTGAGCCCTTCTTTTCCCCACGCTTATAGTTAGTCATCGCAGTTTAAAAATAATTAAAAAAAAAAAAGATTCCAAGCAGAATTCAGTCTTTCTGTAAGGCGGTTTTAACGTAGAGCTATTTTTCAGAATTCATCTTAGGCCAGCAGTTTCCTCTCGGGCTCTTCAGGTCTCTACCTCTCTTGGATGTAAATTAGTCAGAGTACAATCCCCAACAGATTGATTAAACCAATGCTTATCGTTCAGACTAAATGACAGGTTGCTGCAGAAATCTCTTCCGCAACGATTTTGTTGCGGATCGCAATTATAAAACGTGGTTTAATGGTCTTCTAGGGGATACTGGTCTTTCACTGGCGTTTTCAGGACCATAATTTGTGTGTATAACGAAGAGACTTTCTTAAAAACTCTCAGTATGTATAGCTGGGATTTAATGTCTTGATCTGTGATAATGTAGCTTATCCATTAAAATCCATCTGGAAGAGGGCTCTGTGAAATATCTTTAATATATGTTATTTTTTTCTGTTAGCAGTTTTTAAAATTCAGTTTTAAATGTTAATTTTGTTAAATTGCTATGCTCGAGCATGCCTTTCTTTCCTCAGATTGGCAGTTCTTTATTTAAAGAGCAAATTTAACACAAAGCATGGCTTTGAGAAAGCTGGCTGTTTTCCAGTCCTGTCTTTATTTTTAAATATTGATTATTAAGTCGAGCATTTTCCCCACTGTGTGCCTTTAGCTGTTACTAAGGTAACTGACTTCTCAACCACTGTTTCTCTGAAACAGGCATTAAAATGTGGGAATATTTTTTTTCATTGTTCTCTCCTAAAAAGTTGTCTGTGGATTTATAAGTCTGCTTATAAAATCTCACCCTGAGGAGGTCTGCAAAAAGACTTTTAAGTTCCTAAGGAAAAAACAACACTGACCCATACCAATTTTTGCATGTATAATATATCTTAGAAAAGCACTATTGGGAATCAAAAAAACCCAAACACCAAAAAAACCAAAATGAAACCCCCAAAAAACCCAATTCACACAAACCACCACTGCTATGAAATCAACACTTCAAACGTGAGTTCGGGCATGTGCTGTCTGACCTACGAGAAGCATCCAGAACAACGTACACGTTTCATTTTCACCAGAAACTTGCTTTGACTTTCCCCCCCTCCCCTCCTTTTTTCATTTATTGGCATTTTGTAGCTGAGGTTGCTTATCTTTCGGCTGGTAAAGCTGTTGTAGTAGTCGACTGTAGAAAAGAACGTTGGACTTCAAGACTGAATTTTTGCAATCCTACATGAGAAATATTTTTTTTTTGCTTGTGCAGTTTAATCCACAGGATCTAAAAGGATGACTTTGTATGAGTGAAATACTAACAAAATGAGGGCACGTTTCAGAGTTTTAAGCATAGCGGCTACCTTTCCTGATACTGCAATTTAAACACGGCAATCACGCCACCGCCTAAAGTCTTTGCGAGGTCTGACCCTCCCTTTGTGTGATTTGCAAAAGATGCAAATGGAAAAGATGCACTTGAAACAACAGGTCATTTCCCTCCACTTCCAATAATAAATGAACAAAACTGTGCAAACTTACTCTTTCAGACAGTATGTAACTGAAAAATTAGTATTTTGCCATTGCATATAAGTAGAATCTAATTAAAATGAATTGCATGAATCCCTTTTCCCTCCAATTTTATTGATTCACATATATATTAGAGTTATAAATTGATATTTTTTTTTTTCTCTGAAAGGAGTTAAGTAAAACAATCCAGAGGACATACTCCCCGGTAAGTATACAAATTATTTCAAAATGTAAATGCCGATGGACAAAGACTTTCAAATTAAGTTGAAATTAGAAGAAAACAGATTATCCAAAAATGTGCTGCTACAGTGCAATGTCTATTTTGTTTCTTTGGGGATTTTGGAGGGGGTTGTGAAGTCTCGTTACCTTAACAAGCAGAAGGTACAGCTGCTGTCAAAGGAGTTGAATGATATACAGGAGTGAATACTGTAGATGAAATACTACTGCTTATAAAATATTTTTCCATTTTGAACAAATCTGTAAACTACACCTTTGTTTATAGGAAAATGCTTGTAATCTAATAAAAAAAAATTTGTGAAATAAACACTTTTGAAGAAATTGTGACTTTGGGTCAAAAATGAGAATGTGAAAAATACACCTTTCAATATTTACTTCTCTATATCGAAAATGCTTCTATTTGTAAAGTACTTGTTAATTTTAAAACACAAATGAACAATCGCAAAGCTTTTACTTAAGACTTTGAAAGGTTTCGAAGTTATACCTTCATTTCAGAGGTGCTGAAATAACTGTGAGCTAATCAGAAACCAATTAAGCGTGGAATCCGATGGCCTCGAAGGCTCTGGCAAATGGAAGAAGAGAGGATGCAGTGCTGGCCCCTGCGCATGGGCTTAAATGAGAGAAGGCAATGGCAAAGAGAGAAAATAATTGTAAAACCCTCTGCTTTTTTTTAAAGACAAAGTTGCGTGTCGCTGTGTGTTCACTCATCTGTAGACTCATGTCTACGGTTGGACTTGATGATCTTTGAGGTCTCTTCTGATTCCAAGAAAT